GCCTATACACTTCTGCGCATAAGAAACCTTCCCCCACAGTGATTGCTCTATACCAAATATTTGGCCGCAGGTTCCCATCAGGAGCATATTGATCAATTTTGCTAAATGAACAAGGGGTTGACAGGGGGCCGAAATTTCAGATTAAAGGCCAAGGGGGCGCCACTTTGACCCCCTGTCAAATAACCCTGTCCCCCTTGTTGCCGTAACAAAACTCTTAATTGATAACATTGCATTTTAGGGGAGTGCTAGGGATCGTTCAAGTTCCTTTTCACTACATTTTAATGTATTTAAGACTCTCAATCTTGTCCATTGTGATTCTTATGTTTTAATTTTTTTGATTAATTTTATTTTCAATTTTTTAATTAGCACATTTTATCTCTAATAGTTGTTTCCGTCCAAAAGGTCAGTTAAGAGAGAAAATTGATTTATTTTCTCATTATATTGTTTAAAATTTAATAATGCAAAAGTGCGATAAAATATTTTTTTTCTCACTTCAATGCGCGCGCGCACGCAGACACACTAATAAAATGTTGAACATATGAATTCATCGAAAAAATGTTACGAACATAATTGTTACAATAAGTAAAAGTTGAGAATCTTAAATGCAATAAAAATTTGCAACTAATAAAATAATGCGATGTGAATATAATTATCCTTTATTTTTTCAGCAATAGTAGGATCTATTAAGCAAGTGTGATCTGGATATAATAAAATTTTATTGAGAAAAGTTTTTTATTATTTCACTATCTTTTTTATTGTTAAAAAAAAAAAAAAATTAGCAACATGTTTGGGCTTCATTGAAATGATATTATGGGGGAAAATGTATTTTGAAATAATATCTTTTGGAGAATATGTAGTTTAAAAATTAAAAAAATTGAATTTACTTGTAAAATTATTTTTTTATGTGAGAATTTGTAATTGAAAATGATTTTAAAAAAATTGCATTTTTGAAAAAAAGGAGCCCAAACAGGGGCTCGATAAGCTGCTTTGAAGGTCAAGTTGGGCCGATAAGGCAAAATTAAAGTCCATCTATTATAGTATGTTTAGCTCTTGTTTTATTTGGATAAAAATTAGATTTTTGGTAAATTTTAATAAACGTTGATTAATTATACGATTGAAAATTTATAAAAGCTATGAATCTTATGAAGTATATGATAGAAATAAAATTTGAGAAAAAAATGAATTTTAAGAAATGATGGCAAATAAGGGGTTGAGTAACCTTATATTTCAACATCATAGTCACCACCACCATCACCTAGCTTCTTAAAAGATGAATGACAAAGCTTTCGATAAAAATTTAGCAGCTTGAATAATTGATCAAATTTGTAAATTTCATTAAGCCTCATTTGGTTTTTATTATTTGGCCACAAAAATAAAAAATATAATCGTTATCCATCAAATCAAGTCATCATATTTGATTTTTTATCTTTTATATGGATCCCATAATGATTATATTTTTCATTCTCATTCTTATAAAAATGAAAATCAGATATGATTAAATTAAATATTAACTTTAATTTTAAATTTATTATTATTATTATTATTTTAACCATTTTCAAAGTTATCCCAAACAACCAATTCATGATGTTAAACTATTGACTTGAAAAAACAGTTGCAATGATAAATTTTATGAAGATTTGCACACGTTTACAAAACACATGTATGGTATGGTCTATGAAAAAATAAAGAGAAAAAAACAAAAGAAATAATGAAAAGGTCGTTCCTCGAGCAGAGGGCCAATGCAAGAAGCATGTGCAACTCTCTGGGTTTTCACTTTTCTGATTCATTCTGTTTTTTGTATTATTAATTTTAGGATAACTGATGAAATGTTTTCAAACCTTAATTCCTAAAATTACAATTTCTAGAAAGCTTCATGCCAATCAATACATAAAAAGAACTCGAGTAGCCTAGTCAATCATCGAACTAAAGTGCATGGAATAAGATTGACGAAAATTATCGGAGGCAAAGTGAAAAATGATTTGAGATTATTGAAGCATAATAAGTGTTAAGACTTGGAGTTTCATCTTAAAATGTCAACTTTGTTAAGAATAGTACAATCTTTTATAAGTTGGTTTATGTTTTTATCTTTAATCGATGTGTGATTTTATCCCCCTAATATGCCCCGCAAGATGGTGGCTCGTTTAAGCAGACCAATATTGAAATTCATTTGCTCATTTATTGATTTTTAATCGGATCGAATTGTTCGTTGGACCTTAATGCCTAATGGGCTCTGATACTATGTTAAAATTTGGGGTTCCATCTTAAAAGGTCAACCTTGTGAAGAGGAGTGACAAAATTCCTTATAAGTTGGTCTATTTTTTTATTTTTAATCGATGTGAGATTTTATCCTTTAACAATAAGTTGGTGAACAATTGTATAATTAAAATTTTCAATTCTGTAGATATTAAAAATAAGATTATTTACCAAATGACTAATATATATTCGACTTTGTAAAACCATAATTTATTTTATATTTACTTTATTTTTGTAGTTTATTTATGTAAATACACTTCAAAGTAATTTTTTCAAATTTAGACAAACATGCTCGAAAATGACACCTATTTCTTCCTCTTATTATATTGAGTAATCTATTAGATGTGGATTGTTGACTCCTTATATGTTTTGCGTTCATTTTATTAGAGTATCAATAGACATCAAAAGATAGATAAATTCAAAAATTAAAGAAAAGTGAAATTAAAATAGAAGCATTTAACTTATTTCTCAATAGAACGAATCAACGAAGAGAATACGCAAGAGAACATTACAAGCTCTCCACATGAGACAAAAATGCCTTGCTTTCAAATATTCTCCAATAAAAATATGAAATCTCACTAACTAATATGCTTATTAGTATCCAAAAAAATATGGATAAAACGTGTTTGACAATTATATCTTTAGCCTTGCGACATTTTCTCGATCAACATGAGGTAAGGGTCAAGGCAAAACCAGCTGAAGGAAGGTGAACGGTTATGCAACATCTATATAATGATTTATATAGACATGACGTGATAAAATATGATTTGATCAGAATTTCTTCAACCAAATAATAAAATAATTTATTATGATTTGATCAGAATTTCTTCAACCAAATAATAAAATAATTTATTCATTCTCTTTTTGATATCTAAGTTATATGTAAATCATTATATATCTCTATTATGTACATATAGCATTATTCTTAGGGCAACTCCAACCCATGAAAAATTTCACCAATTTTCACGAAATATACCACTTCAACACTACCAAATCTTGCACCATATGGTGCAACACTATTCACATACATAATTTTGCACCAAATGCGATAAAAATTCATTTTGCCCTTTTTTTATGTATGACCAAGTGATATGAAGGGTATTTATGTTATTTTACATTATAAATAAATATTAATTCATAATTAAGTAATTAATTATTATTATTATTATTTGTAATAAATTTTAATCGCGTAATCAATAATAATAGATAAATGAATTAAATAAAAGTACTAAAAAAGTTTTAAAATGCAACATACATGATTATTTAAAACTAAAATGAAACTACAATAAGTCAATAACAATCACATACAAACATTAACGATACATAAAATAAGTGAATAGCTTAGGAATATGGTAGATCACTTCCAATCCTCCAATGTCATCAAAATAATTACCAAACAAACTATATAAACTTTTGGATCCTTTACCATGTTAAAAATAAAAGAAATGAAGAAAATGACACAACACTGTTCATTTGGTGTAATGGATCGAAGATAGTTTGATGCAAGATTTGGTGCAAACTAGTGTTGGATTGAAGATAGTTTTGCAAAGCGTACAAGTTAACGAAGTTTTTTTCACGTTAAAAATTTAACTGTTAAATTAATCAGTCATAATTCACGAGGTTCCAACTGCGAAAGCAAACAAGCCCTAAAATTAAGTGAAACTGCTTTTCATCGTCAGACAAACAGTCTTAAAGTTTGTTTTATTGCGATGGTCCAAACTTTAACACACAAAAGTTAAACTATGAAACGAAGTGCCAAAAAGCTGATGCTGTAAACTAAAAACGTATATTAGGCGTCCAATCATGTTGCACGCCTTTATATGCCGCTCAATATACCTTTTATATTTAACTAAACAATTATTTTAAATATCACATAAAATTTATCTCGTATCATATAAAAATTAAATTTAAAAATTATAGTTAGATTGTTATGGAACATTTGTTTTAATATAAATTGATTTCTTAAAATATATCTATATAATATGCCTTAAAATATCACTCACTAAAATAAAATAAAAATATATGAAATACAATAATTTCTTGTGTTGTGTCATGTTAAATTTAATTTCTAAAATATATTATAACTCGTCAACATAAGAAACATATTGAATTTCAACAAATCCTCCCAAACACACTTTGAGTCTCGTTAATAAATTTTTCTAAAGTATTTATGAACGTGAACTCGTCATTTAGCATTGATAGCGGATGACTCATAAGGAGAGATAAATAGTACTTGCCACAATTTATCGATTAGTATAGAAGACATGTTACGTAAAATAGACTTTAATTGCTATATACATACGTTATCTATGTTAATTTATATAATTTATGTTATGAGTTTAAACATTTTTCGCTTTAAACTCTAGTGATGCAGTCGGTAACTTGGTTTGCATGTTCAAAGATCAAAGCTCGACTGTACCACTAAAGATATTAAGATGAAATGTGTTGTAAAGTTTAAAGCTCGACCATACTACGGCTATACACATCCTTACACTCGCATATCATTGATCATTTGTATTGCATGATTATTTGATGAAAGTTGAGATTTTAATCAAAACACTGTCATTTTTACTACGTTCTTCAAAAATTGATTACCAAATTCCTTCACATAACCAAGCCACCACGTTATTTCACCTTTAACCAACATACTAAGTTAATTATTTTTTAAAATTCTCATTATATGCATTAATGCTGGAGTCTGGACACATCCTCATCATCATGCATGGAAAAAGTTCCAACCTTGGACGTATATGGTAAACTTTAGCCACTTTTACTGCTTCCAAAAGTTGTACCATTACAGGATTTTGAAGCTTAACAGTAAAATAAAAAACCAGTGTAAATAAATTACCAAACCAGAGTCCAATTTATTACCCAATTATTGACATAAAAGTAGGATTTTTACCCTCGCCGACACATGCTTCTCTCTCCCCCCTACAACCCCACGTGAATTCTGAAGTTCCCAGTCTGATCTCCCCACTCCCTGGCCCCTGTTGCCCTGCTCATCTCTCTCTATCTCATCTTCTTGATCCTATGCGACGCCGAAGAAGAGAAGGAGAGAGACCCTTTGTACTTTTAGTGATAAGCTTAAAACTCTGTAAAAAAAAATTTGGATGGCTTGGTTTCCAATCCCCATTCGTCGAATTTTCCTTATTATGACATGATTTTTGGGGTGGATTGATCTTTAGTGCCAGTCTTCGGGGAAGTACCAATGGAGGGTCGGAGCTTGATCATCTGAAAAGAAAGTACTGCACGACTCCTCGCCGAAAAAATTGTGTTCCTCGATTTTGACGAATTGTGGTTGATAAGCTTTGTGGGCATCTCGAATGATATTCGTTTTGGGTTCTGAAAACTGGAAAGTGCAAGCCATAGATGAACTGGATCCATTCTGTAAGTCCAAGAATTGAGGTGGGCTCACCCTACCAGCAGATGAAGAAATAGCAGCAGTAGGGCTATTGTTGTCTTCATTCAAGATTGCACTTGAATCAGTACTATCAGATGATCCATCTTTAAAATCAGTAAAAACTGGTGCAGAAATTACTCCATTGGTGCCATTAAGATTCTCCAAGTGCAGATCAGTGGAATCTTGATCACATTTAGTCAGAGAATTCCATGTGGTTTCAGCTTTGCTTTTTTCATCAGTTTCAGACACAATTTTTTCTTCCTTCACAATTACTTTGCTTTCACTTATGCCATCTTCATTTAGCTTCGATTTCAGCTCCCAAATCTACCACACAGTTAATTTCGAAAGTTAGTAACAGGAAAACTTTGGATGCAACTATAAAACAGTTTTGAGTACATATTTTGTTGACACTAGAATAGGATTGAATATTGAACAAGGTAGCAAGTACCTCTTTGAGTAGATTTTCATTGTCCAGTTGGAGAGTTTCATAATTGTGCTTGAGGGTATCAAAATTGGCTTTGAGAACGCCATAATCTCTCTCTAATTGTTTGGTTTTCCACCGTGCACGGCGGTTTTGGAACCAAACAGCCACCTGTCTTGGCTGCAAACCAAGTTCTTGAGCCAACTTAACTTTTCTCTCCGGTTCAAGCTTGTTTTCCACTTCAAAATTCTTCTCCAATGCTTTCACTTGATCAACACTTAATCTCCTTTTCTTCTCGGCCATGTGGCCTCCTGATTCTTCCACACAACCGTCCTCATCTAAGCCCTCCAACAAGGCCTGGAACTCCCTCGTGTAAGCTTGATTGTTCCCTTGGTTATGTTCTTCTACAACAAAACGTACGCAGACAAGACAGATTCAGTATTAATACGGGGACAAGAAAACATGGTGAGGGTATGTTTGAATCATAGGGATTACACAAGAATTTAACCAAACAAGTGGAAAAGGATATTTTTCAAACATGCACCTGTAGTGTTGGGACAAATGGACATCAAAGGATTCAAAGCACCCAAGGAATCAGAACTTCCAAGTCTCTTCATTGCTGGTGACTATATACACTGATACAGTCCCTCTTAAGCTCTAAAAAATCAAAATAAAAATTGAAACTACCCTTAACCTTGTTTATTTGAAATTAGTTAGCAAAATAGTTTTGAGGGAGAGATTTTTTTGTCTGTTTTGAGTCTTTCAAGAGCAAAATTTTTCATTACATAGCCAAATTCCCATGATCCAAACAATTCCAAAGGGCACAGTTTTGGATGCATGAAATTTTAACTCTGCACCTTTTGCACTTTCTTGGTTACTCCATTTTCCCCTTTTATGACTTCCTCTGCCTCTGAACCCATCAAAAGAAAAGATAAAGAAAATCCAAAACCCAAGAAAGACGAAAATAAATATATATATTACTTATGGCCAAATAAACCAAAAACCCGAAAGGAAGAAATAAACAACTGCACTACTTTTTCTTCTCTCCTAATTTTCTTTACACGATTTTCAATCGATTCAAAAATCCGTTTTTTCAGAGACTGTTGATCTACAGAAGGAAAGATGAGGGATTGAGGAGTGGGGGGTTGAAGATGACGAGAGATTAGAAGACCAGTTCACTACTCAGCTAGCTTCTCTCACAATTTGTGTGTTTAAATAAAACCAACTGGGGTCATTTTGGGTTTTGGCACCAATGAAATGAACGCCAAATTGAAGGCAAATGCAAATTTTGCATCCACCGGCTATTGCCGGTAATTTTCGACCGTTTTGAGGGCAGATATTTTTTTTTAAAATTATTTTTTAACGTGGTGGTGATAACTGATAAGTGGAAAATTAGGGGTCCATATGGCGCGGTCTGTCATCTCACTCCGCTTATTTAAAGTATCGATATTTATTTTATATTAGATAATCATGATATGATATATCAATTTATTGGTAAATAATAAATTAAATTCGAATATTAAGCTCCCGTTTCATTTTCATTTTCATAAGAATGAGAATGAAAAATATAGTCGTTACGGGATTCACACAAGAAAGAAGTAGTCAAATATGGTAGCTTGATGTGATAGATAACGATCATATTTTTCATTTTTAGGGTCAAAGAATGGATAACAAATGGGATCTAAGGTATGGTATAAATTTATCTATCAATAAATTGATATGATATGTAATCAATCAATTGATGTTTACTATAAGCTATGCGCGGTAATTAGTAGATTACTTAATGTATTTACAATATGAAAAGAGATGCATGTTTATATATGATTCAGTATTGCCACTTCATATGTCAAACATACTTTAAATTGCATAGTCATGTTGGAAGAATACAAGATTACGTGATTATTCAATGTCGTTATTGTTGTTATTCGTTCTATGGTTCTTAGTATTTACTATTTATAAGAACATTATATTTCTTATGAACTTTATAGGACACCACGTTTGTTCTTTACTTTTCGAATTAAAAAAAAAAATTATAAATTTATAAATTCAATTAAAATTAAATATTAATTTTATTATGCATGTATAACTACTATTTATTATTAGCCATATTTCTAATCTGAGTGACCTGATATGAAGTTTTGCAAGTGGCCAAGTGGGTTTTAGCTGGAGCGTACTCATCATCAAACAGGAACCCACCAAGGGGACAATCTTTTGATCGTCATGCACGGTAGGACCCTATGTAGAAAAACTTTTCATTCAAATTTTTTTTTTCTTTTTTAAATAATATATCTTGATTGATGATTATAAGTTTTACTCTTCTTGTCAAGACTAAGGATTTGTTCCGTAATGATTGTGAGAATTAATTTTTGGATCGTCAGAGAGAAAAATAAATCTTATCTATTTGAGAAGAAGTAAAAAATGATGGCTGATTTAGAGTAGTATCTCTCGAGTTTAATGATCACCATTTTTAAATAAAGATCTGAGACGTGAACGAGTTTTATAATTAGATGACGCCTTCTCCTTACATTTTTTGAGTATAATTCTTAGGATTTTATATAAACTGGTTGTGAAATAGCAATTTTATGTAGGGGTAACACCCTTGAAGGTAGCCCCCCGGGGCACATTCAAGTTGGCAAAGGACGGGCATTGCGGGGCTCGCAACCCCAGCGTGGGGAGTTCGATTTCTGGTTGGAGCAGCTAAGTGATGTAATAGCCATTCTTGGTTGGAAGAGCTTGGTGATGTAATAATCATGGAGGAAGACTCTCTTGGGGCCAGGAGTATAAAGGATACACGGACCCTGGTCAATTTGGGCATATACCGCGATTTACCTCCACTAGTCACTGAGGGGCCGGGGGCTAGGGGTCCAGGATTTAGTCCGGCGAAGCTGAGACACCTGGGTTATCAAAAAAAAAAAAAAAAAAACACCCTTGAAGGTTTTGTAATGTGGACTAGGCATTTGAGTTGGGATCCAAAATTTTCCACTGTTTTCAACTTTCGAGAGCCCACAGAAAGGGAAATTGATGAGTTTTGTGCAAGTGGGATACGTACTTTCATTTATCACAAAAAGTAGACATATTTTTCAAATGGGTGTTTGCTTGTTTTCTAGGAAGACAGAGTTTGCTGTGGAATAAATTGTCCTGCTGGCCTTGTCAAAATTGCTTATGCAATATACTTATGGATATGAGAATTGATTTTTTGATTGTTAGGAAAAAAAAGTTGAGATTACCTGTGAGTGAAAAAGTAAAAAATAACAATCAAAAAATTAATTTTTTGGAGGTGAAAAAGCACTACCAAATAGGGGCTTAACACATTGCCTAGGAATTACTTGTGAATTTTGAGAGAATCACATTCTCTTTTCTCTTTTATAACTTCTATATTACAAATTTCGATGATTTCGGACGTGCCTAGAAATTGCTTGTCAATTTTTGACGTTCTCATTTTAACTAACATGTAATAAAAGAGAGCATAAATTAAGATAGTTCAGCAAACTCCCTTGTACCATAAGAACGATGATCGACTACTAATCAAAGTTTCAAATTACGAACTCTTTTTAACCAAATTGGGACGTGCTCTTTATTCTTTACCTCACATGATATGCACTCGCCACTCCATATATAAGCAAACCCTAACCCCATTCAAGAATACATAGACCAATCTCATTTCCCCCAAATTATCTTCCCATATTGCTAAAATTCCTGTAGAAGGATTAGTAGATTGAATTATTTGTTTTGGATGTTTATTTACTATATTCATTTGTGCATCCTTTGTGTGTCTAGACCTATTTTCAAAATTTTTCACTAATCCCGATTCGACAATTCAGTATTATTGTAAAATTTTAATAAATTAATAACTTCGCTTGAATAAAAAGAAGATTTAATCTTAACTAGAGACAATGTCCTAAATAATTAATAAACGAAAATTATACCCAACATCCTCCTTTCTTTAAAATCTCAAACTTACTTTCAACATTTTATACTTCACACATACATAAACACAAAATAAACACGTAACACACACTTATTCAAACCCAAATACACCAACAATGTACGTAGACCACCATCGGACCACCAGACAGCACCACTGGCACCCACTACACACGCCACAATGAAACACCACCACCACTACCATCGACTACCACCATTGCGCACAGCCGCAACCATCTTCGCCGGATTTTGAAGTTGCAGATCTCAAAATAGATCTGACAGGGATTTGTAATTAAGCATCATGAAACAATAGATACTCAAGAAAAGATAAATTAACCATATTTAGAGATGATTGCAACTGCAGAGAGAGACTTTGAACGAGTATTTAATCATTACTCTCCGTTTCATTCATAACTTTTTCTTTCTTCTCTTTCATTTAATTAATTGGCATTGTGTCTCTATTAAAACCTAAATAGAATAAGGGCAAGAAGGAACCATTTTTTTTCCCTGGCAGCATGCATGGGAGATTCATTATGGGACATATTAATGTGTGTCTCTCACCTGCATGAAAACCCCCACCCCATAACTTTCTGACCAATCATCTAATATTTTATGATTACACAGAAGACTGAACCCAAGAAATTTGAAAAGAGAATTGGAAAAATATGCACAAATAATGATTGGTGCCCCCAATAAACACACCACCCATATTATTAATTTCTAAGGTGCCAAAAGGCCCATAACTCAATCTGTGAACAAATCCCCACATGCAATATGCATGCCATTGAAATTTATTTGTTGAAAGATCATTTCCATTATTTCAATCACCTTTTTGTTTTGAAAATTTTTTCCTTTCCCGGGCTTTGATGCCCTTTGTATTGGTTGATTTGTTGGATACGTTATTCTAGAAGTATAACCATCTGACCGATGGTAGCCTTCAGAAATAACGTACATACCCTAGATGAGCCAAAAGTTTCATACTTGAGAATGGTATTAGATTAGATAACATATTATCTTCTTCTTCTTCTTCTTCTTCTTCTTCTTCTTTTTTCGCCATAAGAGTAGCACAAAACGAGGAATTAGCATTATTTACCCGATAAACCACTAAGATGGTCCTCGTTGGGACTTTGCGAACTAAGATGGCAGCCATTACTTCTGAAGTTCCAATAAAGGTCGTTTTTTAGAGAGTTGATGCAATACATTAAAATTCAACCTCGCATCCTCTATTCCTTAAGCCAATTGCTTGCCCATTTTTCAAATAAATAAGAGAAGAAAGGTGATAATATATATTTATTTAATATTTAGTTTCCTTATTTTTTAGATTTCCTTGTTAGCTTTGATTTCCTTGTAATATATAAACTATTTTAAGTCATTGTAAACTCTAATTCTTTTTGTGGCTCAATTGTTTTTCTCTTCTTCTTTCTCCTTCTTTGATTCTCTATATGTTTGATTCTATATATCACATGAAGCTTAATGTATTTAGAGTCGGCAAGGAATGATATATATTGTCTAAGATTTGTTTTTGACTTCTTATTTGTGCAGATTTAAATGTGAAACACGACTAAACCTTTTATTCGAAGAAAATATTATTATAAAAATCAATCCTAATTAATTTGTGAGACCTCAACTACCACTTTATTAGTTTTCCGACGTCAATGGCGACTTCCGAAAAAATTAGGGGTGGGCGCGGGTCGGTTCGGTTCGGTTCTCTTTAGAACCGAACCGAACCAAACTTTTCGGGTATCTAGTAAATGGAACCGTCGGGTCCAAATATAATTATGGAACCGTTCGGGTTCGGTTCCATTCGGTTCGGTTCGGATCGGTTCGGTTCCGTTCGGTTCTGTACTATAATTAAATTTTTTAACATTTATAACAACGTTATATAAATACGACTAATGATACATTCAATAGTTTTGGAATGTCAGAGATTAGTAAACTACCTTATTCAAATGATCGCTACGATCAAAGCTTCAGTCCGGGAAAGTCACGGCTTCGATCGGAGGTCAGAGTGTCGGCCGACGATTGTATAGATTTTGGAATATTAGATAGGCTGCGAGAGTGAGTGCGAGAGTCGAGACAACGTTATGCACTTTATTGTAGGTGTTTAGGGTTATTTAGTGGATTTGATCTTGTTTGGCTAAAAAATGAAACAATAAAATGGGTAATTGGGCCAAAAATTAAAAAATTAGAAATGAAACAAATTATTGAGCCAAAAATTTGGATTTAGAAATGATTAATTTGTTAATTTGTTTAGAAAAAATTAAAATTAAAA